CCCCAAAACCCCAAAACCCCAAAACCCCAAAACCCCAAAACCCCTTATTTTTAGCAAAAAATTGATTTAAAACTAATAATAATACTTTTTATTATGGATAAATACGTATTACCTAATAGAGTAATGGCTATCGTTATCCCCATGATGATAGCTTGACTTTGGATCACTCCATGAAAAGCTGATCTAAGATTAGTTACTTCAGAAGACACTCTTTATGTATACGATGGCCCAATTGATGATCAAGAGCCTCTGTTTAGTCAGGAAATTTCGGGCTTTAGAAACTATGATTTCTTCAACCGTAATAATAGTATTCCAGGAAGAGCATGCTATATTTTTGAAACTGGTTTTCCTAAAGAATTGATCAGAGAAAAATGCATTAATCAGATTGACACTTGGACTGGAAATTGGATTCTTATTCTTCCTTTTGAGACTAATAACTTTCAGGAAACATTGCAAGATTTGCCAAAGAGTTTTCCTACTATTCAATCAGTTATATTCACTTACATTGCTGCTCCAGAGATTACAGGACCTGCTCCAAGTCAGAATCAACCTCAAATTATTTCTTTTGCAAGAACTTCAGAGTTAGCTAATATCACCGAAAAAGCAGTCCCTAAATCAGACCAATATTTCTTCAAGCACAAGCACAAGTACATAGAGTATTGAGATGTAATGAAGCCTGCCTTCAAATTTTACCTTATCACTATTTCAACATGGGGGCTCATTACTGTTTTTCATATCTTATGGACATGGATCTTGAGGAAGGATTACTCCCAGCATCTCCAAAAAATTCTCCTATTCATTCCTGTTTTCTTTGCTGGATACAGTCTGATTGATTATGTGTACTTTATGTCATGTCCATGGATCACTGCTAATGGAGTCCAGTACTTGCAAATAGTCCAAATTGCTCTTGTCACTATTTTCAATACTCTCTTCGTAGGACTCACCTGTTTTATCAGTAAAGGATGGTCAATAGTCAGGAATAGCTTTACTCGTGAAGAGCTCAGTTCCATCACAATGATAGTTGGTATCTTCTATTTAGTCTACAGTGCATATTTTATCGCATCAGATATTTCATCTTTAAGAGTAGTAATAGTTGTCATTTTGATTCTGATGTACCTCTGGGTTGCTCTGACATGTCTGAAGAACTCTATTGTCAACATTCGTACACTGAAATCTCATATTGCAGTAACAGGACCTGAAGAAGTAATCATGAAGTCTCTAAAGTTAAAGAAATATTTGATGCAGCATTTCTGAATAATTACCATGCTATTCTATCTAAACAAGATAATACATAGCGCTTTGAAAGCATTTATTGATGATAATGTTACTGTCAGGAATATTATCATAGCAAACTTGTTTATTGAGCTACTAATCGTGGGCTATTTCTTGTTAATTTTCAGAACAAGAAAATGGCCTGAATACTTCAGTCTCGATATCTTCTACCAAAGGATTGGAAATGGTGATTCTGATGAAAATCTCCCTACAAGTATTATATTAAATGCAGTGACTTCTTCTCAATGGGTAAACAACCCTGAGAGCAAAGATTGAATGATCAACGGTGATGAAGCAGATACCCTGGGTAAATACAAATACAAAACCCCGCAAGTAGGAGTTCTCGTAAACACTTCAGACAAGGAAAATTGCAAATTATTTAAACTCCTCAGAGACGAAGAAATTCTAAGTGATTCTGAATAAAATTCTCCCTAAACTCAATACCTTCCCATCAGTCACCCCCACTCCCCTAAATCTACCCCCATTTGCCAATTTCCAACTTCTCCGATCAAACCCCCCTTAAAACCCCAAAATTACCTTCCAGTTTTTCACTACAAACAATTTTTTCCAAAATTTGTACTATCCCAGTGGAGCTAGGTAGCCAAAATCCATATTTTGTAGTACATTTAGGATGTCTTTGTTCCTGTTTTTGGGGATAGAGGGCAGGAATTGGAATAGGGGTTGTTGAAAGTGGGAGTTAGAGGAATTAGAGGGGAGATTGGGGTAATAGGTGGGTTTAGTAGAGGGTGGGAGGGTGCTGTGGGGGGAGGTTAGGGGAGAGGTAGATGAGGTGTGGATGGTTTGGGCTGAGATTTGGGGGAGAGGATGGAGAGAAATTGATTTTGTTGGGATGGTAGGACTTTTTGTGGTTAAATGAGAGAATTATATTTTAAACAATTGGTATTTGACTTATTGGGGTTTTGGGGTTTTGGGGTTTTGGGGTTTTGGGGTTTTGGGG